CTCGTTACACACACACACACACACACACACACACACACACACACACACGTGTGCACGGTCCTCCTCGGAGAGCCCTGAGTGCCACCATCCCCATCCCCCATTCCTTTCCATCCTGCTCAGCCCCACAGCGGGTGGCAGTCTCAGGCAGCCTTCCCTCCCCTGGCTCCCTTCCTAGAGGAAAGGAGAGACCAGGCTCGCATCCCTGGCTCCCTCAGAGCACCCTATGCACCTGGCGCAGCCACCTCCCTCCCGATCAGGCTGCCATTGCCCCCTTGGCACAGCACTCGTCCCAGGGGGACAGAGTTGGGGGATGCTAACATGGGGTAATTTGGGGGTGACAACATGGGCCCCATGCTAAGACCCCTATCTCTCTGAGAGCCAACCCAGGAAATGTCAGGTAGAACTTGGGGACCTGCACCCTGGGTCTGCCCTAAACAGATGGAGATGCAAAAGTGACCAACTGAGGCTGGGAATGAGATGGGGCTCCCATGCTGGCCCATCCGATAAGCGAAGGCTTTGGGAACAGAGCAGGGGCTGGTAACGGGCAAGGAACGGGCTTGCAGTGACCATGCCCAGGGCCCATTTGTTGATCATGGTCAGCAGGTCCCACAGCTTAACAATCACACAGGTTTGAAAGGGACAGACATCACAGCATCCAGACAGGCTGGCTGACCCATGGCCCTTGGCTGTTCTGTCCTTTCTCAGCCGTCAAACTGTTCAGATTCCATCCCACTTACACCCGCGAAGCCTCTTGTTTGTCCTCACCAGTGGCCCTCAGGTGCCCCCAGAGTGCAGCCGCCTGGTCTCAGAGGATCGGGGTGTGGCATGGCCTTGGGCCCCGAAGCGGTGGCCCAGCAGCTGCACCCCGCCCTTCACAGCCCTCCGCCAGGAGCCCAGCTGGTTCGGGTCCGGCCCCTGCGGCCCCGAGGAGGCTCTGTGCAGCGGTGGCTGTCTGTTCCCAACACCTCCCCAAGCAGCCTGGGGTTCCCCACACACCTGGGGATTCCCTGGGGCTTCCCAGCGAGACCTCGTGAGCGGTGTCTCCCTGAGAACCAGACTGGACCCTCTAGAGCAGTGGTTCTCAACCTTCCTAATGCTGCGACCCTTGAATACAGTTCCTCATGTTGTGGTTACCCCCAATTTCATTGTTACAAATGGAACATAATTAAAGCATAGTGATTAATCACAAAAACAATATGTAATTATATATGTGTTTTCCGATGGTCTTAGGCGACCCCTGTGAAAGGGTCGTTCAACCCCCAAAGGAGTCGTGACCCACAGGTTGAGAACCGCTGCTCTAGAGCCTGGGCTGCAGGACAGGGCCCCGGTGAGGGGAGCTTTGCAATGTCCTGACATCTGTCTCTTGCCTTGTGTCAGTAAGGAATGTTCTAGTAGATCTGGCCGAGAGGGCTCCCTGCCCTCTCCCTGCCCCGTCAGGCTGACTGTGGGTCCTGTGAGCCAGAGACACCAGCACAGCTGTCCCGCCACCAAAGTGTCCTGATGTTCCTTCCTCGCGGTCTCTCTTTTCCACATGCTCACTGTGCCCACC